CATCCATCCAACCACCCACCTATCTATCTATCTATCTATCTATCTATCTATCTATCTATCTATCTATCTATCTATCTGTCTATCTATCTATCTATCTATCTATCTTCTTTCAATCAATTTGACAACATAAGCACTGCAAAAAATGTGGTTATTAGTTCATAATGCTGAACATACAGGCTGGTGTTTGGCTTCCAAACGTTACAAAAAGTCACAACACATGCAAATACAGAACCACACTGCAAATATCGCAAACAACACAGGAAATGTTTACAGGGGACCCAAAAAAAGTAATGAACCTGGCTGTAGCTCTCTAAGCCACCGTAATTCTGAAGTGAGGGGAAAACACATTTGTTTAAACAATTAACTTTTTTGCATTAGGAGGAAATGGTTGCCAGTTCTACACCTTAGATTTAGCCCTTTGTTTTCCCCTGACGTACATTTATATATGTATATATATGTATATATATATACATATATAAATATATACTGTATGTACACTATGGGGCTTGGATCATTGATGTATTTTCTTCTTCCTGCTCTAGCTCCTCCCCCTGATTTGAAGGCATCCTTATTTGGGAGGAGAACGTCGCGAGTGCATGTGCCATTCATTGAGGAGGCGTGTTGTAGGCGTGACCTCGTCGCAACTGTCCAATCTACTGTTAGATTTTAGCGATCGAAGGCGGGGCTTCTGAGGGAAATCCTGACGCCCAATGGCTGCTGGCTGAAGGCGGGGGCGGGGCTTGTAGACGGAAGTGTCTCCCGACTGGCCCAGCTGTCATCTAGAAGAGAAGAGACCATTTACACCGGCCGCATAGGAAATGCTGAAAAAGGAAAAACGCTAAAATATGGCAACATCAAAACGATAAGGTCATGTCGCCGAACTGAAGGTAGCTATGCCCGACGTGTCACCAAACACGCTTATCGACGCAAGGAGCTGCAGTATTTGGGTTAAAAGCTGATGACAGGGATCGGCAGGCTGTGTGACATTGAACATACAGGACACGAAACAGACGAGGTCGTTTAAAGAGCCACACACCGTGGACAACTTGTCACGTCCTGAGAATTTGATCCGTCGTGCTGTCGTGAGTTGACGCGGCCGTGAACGTTAACGACATTTCAGGGGACGTTGTAGCCGCTGGGTGCGTTTGTTTTTCACTCCGGCACGGAGAAAAAATGCTACACGGTCGCTGCTGCGGTTATCAAGCTATTATCCTAGCCTAGCGGCTCGGTGCAGGGAACTACCCCAGACCCAGAGCAGACGTCATCAACATACTCTGTATTTAAATGGTCGCGTACGAGGAGGTCATCGCTGGAAAAAAACGACGATTACTCGGTAGGTGTGAGCCACCGCGGCGGCTGAGCTTTCATGGCTGCACTGCAATGCAAAGACGCACTTTAAAATTGACTGCTGCGACCTGCATGATTAATAGGGCACATGGAAGGTGGCGGAGCAGCTGTTAGCTTTGCTGCTAGCTGCCGAAACGACCTTTGGAGACGTCAGCCTGTTAGCTGCCTGCGCTGGTTCCAGGCTGGGTGTTATCCGTGGTCGCCTGCCTTTGCTATATCCGAGTGTTGTATTTCATGTAGGCCTTCAATGGCTAGGCGAGTCACTGACTTAATCTCATTGATTGCATCACAAGACAAGGCAGGGTGCAGCCCGAGCACGTTCACTGCGTTTGGTCAGACGTGTATTTTATTTCTGAAGAGGGCACATCAACTTAATAATTATGTCTCATGCTTTTTTACCCCCCTCACCCTCCCTTCCTATTTCAGGATAAAAAAGACGGTGAAAGCCAAAAGTCAACTGAAGATCACTGGGTGTCCTAAATGGGGGACTACGGGTTTGGAGTTCTGGTGAAGAACAGCAGTGGTAACAAATCTGCCTTCCCCTTGCGGATCCCTCCTCACCTCCAACCCCAGCACCCACACCACCCTTCCAACCCCCCCAGCCCCCCTTCCTTCGTAAACAACACCTGCTCCACCAATGGGGGCAGCGCTTGGCTGTTCCCCGCCGTAGCCCCGCACAGTAACATGCAAGATGAGATTCTGGAGTCAGACAAGTCCAAGGCCTTGGACCTCCAGGACATGCAGGAGAAGTCTCAGGTCCAGACCCAGCCCCAGGCCTTGTCTCCGGGCCAGCAGGATGCCGGGGTAGGCCTAGGAGAGCTTGAGGGTGCGCTCCCTGAGGACGGTTCGCTGGAGAAGGGTTCTTTGGAGAGCAGCAGTGGCAAAGAGAAGCTGAGGATGGAGTCCCCAGTGCTAAGTGGGTTTGACTACCAGGACAGCCTGGGAATGGGTACAAGCATTGCACAGTCCACCTCTTCATCTTCACTGACCAGCTTTAACAACTGGTCCCCTGCTGTCCCATCCACCCAGTCTCCAGTGGTCGGAGAAGATGTAGGAGGGTTCTTTGGCCCGGCTGGCTCCAACGCCAACGGACCTCCCCTGCTGTTCCAGAACTTCTCCCACCACGCAGGACCTGGCTTTGGTGCGGGGGGGAGTTTCTCCCCGCAGATTGGGCCAGTCTCTCAGCACCACGCGCCCACACCTCATCCCCAACACTACCACCCCCATGGTCAGGGGGTCCCACAGCAGCACCGACGCTCCCCAGCTAGCCCTCATCCACCTCAGCCTTCTTTCCCTCCGCACCCCCACCGCACCGGACCATTCACCCAGCTTCCCCACCTCACTACTGCCCAGAATAAACCCCCCTCTCCTTGGGGAAGCTACCAGAGTCCCTCCACTCCCACGTCCACCTCCTGGAGCCCTGGTGGGTATGGTGGCTGGGGAGGCACACAGGGGGTGCGAGAGTATCGGCGGGGGGTAGGTGGAGGTATGTCGGGCCTTAACTCCATCTCCCCGCTGAAGAAGTCCTTCCCTAACAACCAGGTAGATGACAACTCATCTTAACTGATTTAGTAGAGTAGATGATCTCATGCAATACATTAGGTTTGGAAACTCATCTATCTGTCCTCACAGGTTCCCTCTCAGAAGTTCCCCAGAAATAGTTCTGGCTTCAATCACAAGGGCTGGGTGGAGGACACTATGAGCCGCAGTGACAGCATCTACCCTTTCCAGGTGAGTCATGCTCACTCTAATGTGTAGGAACTGAATAGGTTGTCTAAAACGACTTGGGCTGTGGTCTTACATGGCTGCAAAATGTAAATATGTCCATCCCCCCACCACAGGCCAATGATATTAACCCTGTTAAACATGCTTATCTGTGTCAAATTCAACAAATGAGCCGAAGAGAAAAACATGATCAAATGGATGAATAGAAACTTATTGTGTGTTCTTGTGTATGAGCACTTATCTAGGTCATATGGGTGAAGGAGAGCTCTCTTATCATCTGCTCTGATCACATGGCCTTCCTCCTGTGCTGATTTGAGAAGTCTTGTGCTCGACTGCAGCTTTGCATGCTCCAAGCCCATTTAGATACAATGTGAAGCACAACTCTAATGCGTTATGAATGACTAATCATGGCTCTTCTTTGTTTCCGGATTAGTTTAAAATACCAATTTATTGTTTTACCTTAGGCTGTATTCATTATATTAACATAATATATAATTTTCACAGCAGCGATAGGCAGGTGATCATTTTTGTGACACACTCTGGGTTCCATTTTCTGTTTACAGTGCTTTCATCTGAAGGCCTCGACTGGGATATTCTCTGCAGTTCTTTTTTTATTAGCAATTAGTAATGTAGCAAACTAAGCCGGGGCTCTTACATCTTGTGCTGCTTTAGATGTGAAGGGGGAAGTGAGTTGGCTAATTGTTGTCTTCCTCTCTTTCAGCAGGAGAGAACACGGTCTTTTGATGGTTTCAGTATGCACTCTCTAGAGAACTCGCTGATTGACATTATGAGGGCTGAGCAGGATTCCTTGAAAGGTTGGTTCCCAAACTAAACAATGACGAGGAAGGAATCGTTTCCCTCAATGCTGGCTGAGGATCAATGCAGCCATGTATTTGACAGCAAGGAGAATTTTGGTTGTTGTTTCATAATGCTAGCAACTGATTGCGGTGACAGCAGCTGTTAAGGCTGGACATGCAGGCTGCTGGCTCCCAAATGTTAGAAGCCTGTGTATCCACAACAAGTGGACATATCGATGAAGTAAATATTCATTTGGTGACACACAATGTTTGCTTTTGTCAAGACTTGTAGAAAAATTGTGGCAATGGAAACTTCTAATTCTGTAGTTTTTTGCAGACTAAGAAATCTTTCAATCAGTTTAAGCAGGTGTTTATTTGTCATAATTTTGTCCATAAAATGTTTATTCTTAATCCAACCTCTTTTGGATACTCTGTCAAACGGCCTCTCATATTAGGGCCACAGAGTTAAGAGGTAAGGTGTCTACACAAAAGCTATGAGGCCAAAAGGAAAACAATAGACCCATATCACTGTAATATTATTTTGTAATAGTAAATAGAATAGTATATGTATTTTTATCCTTATTTTTTTCCCCATTCTTTCTTTTTTTCAATAGATCCTGCATTTCAGAATTCAGTTCTTTTTAAGCCATTTTCAGACATACACAACCCAGCTGTGGTTTCTATACACAAACGTGTTTACAACAGCATCAAATCCTCTGCATTATTCAGACAAAAGAGGTGGTGCAGAGGCAGGAAGTGACATTCATTTTGCTGCGTAGGTCACTTGATTTTCTTGACAACACGCTGGTGTCGGTTCTTATCGGCACAAACTGTCTAGACATGTTTGTCGATTGTCAACGTGTGGGTCATCGCCTTTTCACAGTTGATATTTGTTTTCTTTTAGTTTTGTCCATTTTTGTGTCTGTCGCGTGCTAGAAGCATCATCAACTCCCCTACTCGTTCACGGTGAATCCAATGGGGGACTCCCCGCTGTGTCCCCACATTGGATTCCCTTGACTTTCGATGGATTTTAAAAATATACCAAAATATGTCAGTAGCAGTGACTATCATAAATACCAGAATCAAGCATTGCATGTCATGGTTCATTCTTTGGTCATATTTGTTTGTGATTTAAATCAAAACTCTTTAGTTTTTCTAAGTCAAGAATCAAAAATATTGTTTTATTATTGGCACAAAAACTCTAAACAATCGCAATCAAATCCGTTTTAACACTGCATGAATGAGATCCACCATGATGGGTCTCAGCTTGGTATTACATGACGGCACGTCTCATCTTCATGACAACCATCACCAGCATTTTTACAGTGTAGACTCAATGATCTCAGCTAATGCTCTCATTAATAAATCATTGCACTTCCGTTTTGTTGCTGTCTAATGTAAAAGAAGATTTTTCCCATCACAGTAGCTAATTTTGGACAGATGATACTACCCTTTGATCATACATACATCGAGTGATGGTTTGTAATTTTCAAGGCTAACACAAGAGTCCTTGAATTTATTCCAGAGTTTTCCTCGAATATGATATCACCCTAACATGGGAGAATAACCTGAGCTATATTTACCATTTGATTTATCTACTGAATAACTTCATACTGTCCTGAGATGTTTGTCAACGTGATCCTTCGTTTCAGAAGCTATTTATATGTAAAAGAAAGGAGATTATATTTCATGACAGTATTCTGAGGTCTCTTCTGTTTTTGTCACTTAGGGCGTTACAGCTTCTCTCACCAGGGTGGAGATGGGCCTCTACCTATGAATGGTATGTAAATGACATGCATACAAATATGCAGTAGCAAAGGTCAGCGCTTAAAATCATTGCGTTTCAAATGCTGATAAGAAGTAATAATGGCCATTTTATTGCAAGTCAATACTTAGCTGGCTTCTTCAAAAGTAGGTCATAGGGATTTTCTTTTGGTGAGCTCATATAAAATAAAAAACAAAAGTAAAAACTCAGTATATCATAACCATGCTGATATTTCCTGAATAACAAGTTGTAAAACCTTTAAATATTTTGTCACATTATTTGTTTTATTGCTTTCTCAACTGCTGTGGTAGGCATAAGAACTGGCTGACCAAAGGGAGTTCAAATAGAAAAACAATGTTGATCAGAGAGCGTCAAGAGCAAAAATAAGATGATAAGCAAAGACTAATAAATGGGCCTTGTAAACTGAATTTAATGTTTGTAGTGGTATTAAAAATCCCAGTGTCTTTTTTCGTTCTTATTATAAGAGAGCTTTATTATTTGAATGATTCCATCTGTCTAGTTTATACTGTACAAATGTATACCAGCATTATATCTGTTGCAGCCTTAACGTTCAAATAGATAACCTGAGATTTTTGATGAAGAGCATTTTGGCCAGTGGAAGCTCAGAATGGCTGTTACGGCAGCCATTTTGTCTGATGACCAACATATTCATTTCCAGTCAGTTTGTTTTACATCTTCTTTTTATGATGTGCCTTTTTCAAGAAAGCCATTTCAAAGGTGTTTTGTGTTGTTTTATATGCAGCGAGAAGTTATGGCAGAAGACGAGGTAAAGTTTGTGAATGTGTCTTAATTTGTTCATTGCAATGTCAAGCTGTTATGATCCCTGAGTTTTTTTGTGCTGCTTCTGTGTTTGTCTGCTTTATTTTGTTTTGGTTACTGATTATTTTGGCCCTTGATTGTTGTCAGTGTCAAAACCCCTTCTTCTGTCGGGAGTGAAAGTCTTAAGTTTCCCCGCGCAAGACCTGGTAGTGATAATTCTCGTGCTTTTACTTTGTCTTTACAAAATGGTAATCATGGCTGCTTCTGTATGTATTTCTTAAAATAATTCAATGCATTTACCACCAATCAAACTCTCTGCTCATTGCAATATTACATTTGAACAGTGGTTCAGCTTAACCGGTGCTGAGGCCATGTGTAATCCAGGTCATTCTCTCCACTAGGTCATTCCTCTCTGTTCCCCATGGAGGATGAACGCTCTTTTGGAGAGGACGAGTCAGGTGACCAGGGGCTTCCTGGCCTTGGCTCAGCCCACTGTTTCCCCCACCTCAATGGTGAACGCGTGGAACGATATTCTCGCAAGGTGTTTGTTGGAGGTCTGCCCCCAGACATAGATGAAGGTAAAGTTTTGTTACAGCCATAGTGGATGTGTCACTAAGTTCAGTGTTTGAAGGTCCAGTGTGTAAGATTTAGGTAAAAGGATCTTTTGGCCGAAATTGAATGTAAAATAATCCTTGGGATGTTTTCACTAGTGTGTTTCTTCTAAATTATATGAATTGTTGTTATCTTCACCCTAGAATGGGTCTTTTATATTTAAATACTTTATATTTACATCAAGGGGGTCCTCTCTACGGAGGCTGCCATGTTTTTTACAGTTGTTCAAACTCTACAAACTAAACACCTTTTGAGTTTTTATGACAACTGAAGTCTAACACAGGTTCTCTTTCAAGTTGGGGAGGGTGAGGTGAGGGTTATCAGCTGCAACATGCAATTTCACCCCTAGTTGGCACTAAATTCTACACACTGTACCTTTAAGTAGGTTTTGATGATGATGATAATATTATTGTTGATTGATTTTCTGAGTTTTACTTTTTCAGATGAAATCACTGCCAGTTTCCGTCGGTTTGGTCATTTGTTTGTAGACTGGCCCCACAAGGCAGAGAGCAAGTCCTATTTTCCACCAAAAGGTGAGTCAAACCTGTTAAACTTTATATTTGTTTGAGCGGTTTGAGTTATTGCAATTGCATTGCAATGGTGAATATTTTCTCATAGTGTGTGTCTTTGCACTTATTGTTCTGTTTTGTCAAACCTTTTCAGGATACGCATTTTTGCTGTTCCAAGATGAGAGCTCTGTTCAGGCTCTGATTGACGCCTGCATTCAAGAGGATAGTAAACTCTACCTGTGTGTCTCTAGCCCCACCATCAAAGACAAGCCTGTAAGTCTCAAACTGCTTCATCTTGTCGAACAAGTACAACATTTTATTGAATGTTTGCATAAGACAAGTGATCGTTGTTTTATTGTCTGATCCTTGTATGCAAAAAAAACTGTAAAATTCAGTGGAGCTGTGTTTTGACTAAAATTAGGGCTTTGCAGTGATAATCACATCAAAGATTATCACAGTTAGATTAATTATTCCCTGAGAAATCAGTCAAAATGTCAACAAAACACACCATCTCACGATTAAAGTGAAAAACTCCACCAAAATGTAATGGGTTCTTTATTGGCCCATGTCCCAGCAGTTTCTGTGTATTCCTGTGGACAGACAAACAGACAATTTGTGCATCTAAACTATTTGACTGTCATCCCAAGAGCTTGATGTAAAAGGTCATAGCCACCACCAACAGCATTTTGCAATATCAGTAAATGGCATCAGAGAATTTTGTTAATATAATGTATCTTATTCATAAAGGAGCTGAGCTGGACTGGGAGAAATAAATTTTTGTCATCTTGATTGTTGCAGGTCCAGATCCGACCCTGGAACCTAAATGACAGTGATTTCGTTATGGATGGCTCTCAGCCATTGGATCCGAGGAAGACCATCTTTGTAGGAGGTGTCCCTCGCCCCCTTCGTGCAGGTACGTGTGATGACCCCTAAATGTATTTCATTCCCATTACTGATTTAGATTTCATTAACTTGCATTCTGTGTTGCTGTTCCAGTGGAGCTTGCCATGATTATGGACCGTCTGTATGGGGGAGTGTGTTACGCTGGGATCGATACAGACCCTGAACTCAAGTATCCAAAAGGGGCGGGAAGAGTGGCCTTCTCCAATCAGCAAAGCTACATTGCAGCCATTAGTGCCCGATTTGTTCAACTGCAGCACGGGGAGATTGATAAACGGGTGAGTCCATATGAGGCTAGCAGCTTCCTTTCAGGTCTAATAAAGAGTGAATGTTGATAAAATATTTCCCATCAATCTAACATCCTGCTGTGCACGCATTCAGATTTTTCCTCAACCTCCATTTTGACTGTTTTCCTGTCATCCACCCTCTGCCTCTCAGGTGGAAGTGAAGCCATATGTCCTGGACGACCAGCTGTGTGACGAGTGCCAGGGCACCCGCTGTGGGGGGAAGTTTGCTCCTTTCTTTTGCGCCAACGTGACCTGTCTGCAGTACTACTGTGAGTACTGCTGGGCAGCCATCCACTCCCGGGCCGGCCGCGAGTTCCACAAGCCGCTGGTGAAGGAGGGAGGGGACCGACCACGACACATCTCTTTCCGTTGGAACTGAGGCGAGAGGGCAAGGGAGGGCAAAAACACAGGTTCGGGGAGGGACTGAGAAAGGGGAAGTTGGGGAAGGGGTACGGGCTAATGATATGAAAATAAATGCACTTTTCTTTTAAGTTAAAAAAACAAAACATAATTTATTCTTTTTATTTTTTTTAATTGGGCCCTCTAACAGAAGTAAATGCTAAGAAGAGAGTGAAATCCCATTTATGTTTTGACTTAACGTGTGCATGAGCATATGGATGCATTAGATTTGGATTTAGACGTTTTCTGACTTGACTGTACTTTCTTTTCGTGTTAGCTGGCAAAGCTGCTTACATTTGTTGTCAAGAGTAACATAAAATTTAAGTGAGGTTCATCATACCTAAATCAGTATACTAACTGGAAGTTGAGTTGAAGAAGGGTGCATTTTCTTACTTTGCGCTTACAGGATTAGAAAACAACTGTACCATTTACCAAAGGTTGAGTGCAAAACGTTGGGTTGAACAGAGAAATGACACAGTTTCAAATAGTTGGACGACTTGAGTTTTTCAAGCAGCTCATTGTATAGCATCTGGCCACGTCAAAAAAAAAAAAAGAAAAAAAAGAAAATCTCTTTAGATTGCTGGCATGGGTTTTTAGGTCTTGGTTTAAAAGTTGACACTTTGTAACCAGAAAGGGCAAACCAAAGATTGGCCTAAAACACATCATCGAAAGCAAACATTGATCTGAGGGGTTTCAGGATAATGTTGTGTCCTCTCGTCATGTGACAGGGGAGAGGCTGGAGTTGTGTTGGAGTTTTGGTTTCTGGGTTTCAGCGAATAAAGACACAGCCCTCAGGGCTCAGGTATTGGCAGTAGTATTTGCTCACTTTATATTGTCAGGGATATTAGCACTGGAAGCTAACATGCTAATGTAGTACTAACTAATGGGAATGCACAGTCCAGTCTCCCTGAGCTGTCCTCATGGTGTACCACTGCACGCTCTACCATGACTGGAGCTTCTATCACAAGTGTTGTGGTTGGATATGGTAGTAGCTAGAATTTGCTGTCACAGAGATAAAGATATTATTTTATACATGGCCTGCTGATTTTTGTACAGTGTTTTATAGCTGATTATTTTGTCATGAACATATAAACATTTATTATGCACTACTTTTCTAAATATTTTTTTCAATAGTCATTTTAGGCACATTTTTCACAGATGGGAGAACTCCTTTTGCAATACCTCATTTTTTTCACTTGGTGAAAAATAATTTTGTACCTTTGTTACTAAGAGATCTGCATTTATGGTAAACTTAATTTAAAAAGAAAATGAATGATATTAATATAATTTTCAATTAGCTTTTATATATTTAAGTGCTGGTAAATCTGAAAATTGTCTGGTGCATTGGTGTGATTCTGTAGATAAAAAAGAAAACAAAAACAAGGCTATGATTAGCTAGTCATAAATGGATTCTCCTCTGTCCTAAATAAACATAACAGGATCCTAAGGCATGACAAGACCTTTCTAAACGGATTTTGATAGTCTTGAAAATATATTCTGATATTTCGCTCCTAGGTGCATTCAGTAAGATTATCATTAGGGTAAATGTTTTGGCTTTGGTCAACGTGATCTCTTCCCTTCTATCACCGGAGTGGATATCATCTGTTTGAATATTTAGATCCTCTTTCTGGAACTGCCTGTAAGTTCTACTTATTCTTGGCATGCATAATGTAATACAGAAATACAATGGCTAGTGTTAATGCAGGACCTAATGTAATGCACTAGATCTCTTTTTGACTTTCTTTTCCTTCTCTCTTTGAGATCACCTCTCTTGTAGCCTCTCTTTACATGGTGGAGTCTGCCTTCCTTACACAGACGTGATGTTTATGCAATCTACACAGTGACAACACTTTGGATGCGTTTTGTAATGTAGAGGACACTCAGTAGGACATAGGTGAGGAGAGTTGATCACTTGACTCCCCCCTCCCCCCTCCCCCCCTCTGTGATGTGGCATGCTTTGGGACATAACCTGAATGTGATTTAATGTTGCAAGTTAACTTTGAGCCATTATGTGCAATACTTATTCTTTCCAGAAACAAGTCTCTGCAGTGCAAGTCATTTAATCCATATAGACAATGCAGTCATTTACACATCATTTGTCTCCTATTGTTCATGCTGATGTCTGCAAGAGAAAAAAAAAACTAATTTATACATGAATTTATTTTTAAACATTAGTTTTGTGCTTATTTACTTATTTTGCTACAACCATGCTACTGTGATTGAAAACATTGTATATACTAGGTCGATAATGTATTTAGTATTTGCTATATTTTCAATTGAAATGTTTAACTATCATTTTGATCAGATTTTTGTTATATTTTTTGGGGTGATGTGTTAAAACTCGTGTGTCTAGTTTTTCTAATTGCTGTATTGTGCTCCACATTTTCAGATGAAAAGAAAATTATGTCTGTTAGTATTACTTGATTGCAAAATTTCAAGTTTTTAATTGTATGCTGGGAAGG